ACCGTAAGTCAGCGAGTAGGCTGTGTGTTGAGCTATAAATAACCTATTAAATAGGAAACTCAGATTGCATGCTCACAGTATGTAAATGATGATAAAATATGTTGGGCCCAAAGTCATTGAATATTAACTAGAAGCAATGTATAGATAATAATATTACTTTAAATAAAGTAAGATTAAATAATTAATGTATTTATTATGTTGTAAATTTTATATGCAAAAAAAATTTTTTAGCATTACAGTCAGACTTCCATAAATGCATGCTATGTCTCAGTTCCATCCTTGGGACTTAGAGATAAATGCACACCCTCTATATTCTGCACTGCATGATATTTTTTCAATCCACTCATGAAAATTCCCTCCACAAATGCATTCATGTGACTTTTGTGTAAAAATAATTTGTATTTGTGATATTAATGTAGAAACAAACAATTCATTTTCTTTGTTATTTCATAGTCAAAGTCAAGGAATTTTGGTATGGGTTTTGATATGTTTCCCCAACAACCATTTCCCCAACAGGACATTTCCTCAACAAATTTTTTCACTGACTACAAGGTTAATAATAAATGGGTTGACAAATTAAATGGCTAGTAAATAGATTGACAGATTTAGCCATCTAACAAATGGGTTGACAGATTTAGCCTTTTAGCAAATGGGTTGACAAATTAAACAGGTTTGACAGATTTAGCCTTTTAACAAATGGGTCAACAAATTAAACAGGTTTGACAGATTTAGCTGTCTAACAAACAGGTTTGAGATTTAGCCATCTAATAAATGGGTCAACAGATTTAGCTGTCTAATAAATGGGTCAACAAAAATGGCTTGATAGACTTAAACAGATTACCCAGAAATGTTGTGATAACACTGACAATGTATTAGGAAAAAATTTGTCAGGGATATGTCCTGTTGGGGAAATGATGTTTGGGAAATATACCAGAACCTTGTTATGTTATTTATACTCTTTGTCTTTGTAATTTTACCAAGAAATTTATTTTGTTTTATAATTTTGTAATTTTACAATAAAATTATTTATTCTTATTATATAATTTTGTAATTTTACAATAAAATTATTTATTCTTATTATATAATTTTGTAATTTTACAACAAAATTGTTTATTATTATTATAGCTTTGTAATTTCTTTATAATTTGTAAAGAATTAATTAATATTTTATCTCCAATAAATAAATACAAAGAATTCTTAAAATAAGGAACTTTTGAATACAGTTGAATTTTTATAAGTAAATGAAGGGAAAACCAAAGATTTCAATGCCTAATTATTAATAAAATTAAAACTCTCCTCTATTGCTATTTTTAATCTTTTAATCCATACATATGTTTTTATTATAACAAGAAAATGCTGGTGAAGTGAGATTGTTTAATAAAATTTAAAGATACATCAATGTAAAAATAATTTTTGTGTTCTGTATATCACGTGTAACCAATGAAATTGCTCCCTTTATAAATGCACACTGTGCCTCAGTCCCAAGGGGTGGTGCATTTATGGAGGTCTGGCTGTAATAAAAATTCTTTTTTGTTCTTTTTCTTCCAAAAAGAAAAAAAAGATATGGAATATTTGATATAATTTTATAATAAAACATCAAAAAAAAGTTTTAATTATTAGGCAGGAAAAGAAAAGATCAAGTTTTTTTTCCTAGTAAACTCTTATTTTATTATTATTATAAACTCAAGTTCTATTATAAATATTACCAAAACAATGTTCTTTTATATATTCACCACCACACTCCAAATATTCTTTTTCTGTCACAACAAAATTTTTAAATTCCTCAGATCTTGCCCATAGAGCAGCACCATGCCAAGCATCAAGAACAGGATTTTGAGCATGAATGATTTTAAGCAATGGTTTTACTGATAAATTGGTTGTGGTTGGTAAGATTGATTGAAGTGAATATTCAAGACGAGTTATTAAACCAGGTGTTTGTGTGTGTCCTCCAGTGACAAATACTGACTAAAAATACACAATAAAAATAAATAAGTATTATTATTACTAATTATTATTAATGTTATCATTACTATTATTGTTATCTATTATTATTTACTTTTATCATCTTATTCCTATCTTCTGCATTAAATCTGTTCACAATATCACCAACAGTTTCAACCAATCCAGCTTGATCAAGTCCCAAAATACTAGGTTGAAATAATGCTTCTGGTACTCTGATCTGTTCAATGTTAAGATGTAATTGATGCATTTGAGCAAAATCTTCTGGGTCATAAGGTGGTGAAACACCATGGGTAAACATGAAAATCAATGATTTTTGGTTAGAATTTTTCACATCATAGGTATTTTCTTGTGAGAAAGTTTTGTCATATTGGAGAAGTTTGGTTTCATATTCTCGTAATTGTGTAAGTTCCTCCTCCTCTTCCCATGCATCATCTTCTCTACTCTAATATAAATAAATTTTTTTATGAATTGCAATGAAAAAAATAAATTTAAAAATCTATACAACTTACTATTTCCTTATAAATAGACCAATCATTATCATCCATACCAAAAGTATCCTCTAAAAATAATAAAATTAAAAATAATAATAGCAATAATAATAAATAATACAATAATTTATAATTACAAAAAAAAAATAAATAACAAAAATTAAACATTTTACCATCTTGACCTCTACGTTTCTTTTTTTGTTGTGGAGCATCACTTGCCAAATTAGCAATTGATTTCATTCTTAATTGTGAAGCATGACTCCTACGATCTGAAAGTTGCTCTTTTTTACGTTTTAATGTTTTAACCTTTTCTAATTGTTTCTATATGTATATATATAATAAAAATTGAAAAGCTTATATATATAATGATTGTTATCAAAATCAAAATTAAATATATATACACACCTCATAATTTTTTTTTACTTCTTCTAACCATCCATCAAAATCTTTTTGTCTTCTATCCTCCTCCATACGTTCTTCTGCTTCCTATTTAGGAAATAATATAATATATATTTATATTTATATTTGATTTAAACAAAATCCTAGTGATAGTAGTAATCTATAATAATGGTATTTTTATTAACCTGTTGCTTTTTAGCCAATTCTTTAGCTTCTCGTTGTCTTTGACGAGATTCATAAAGGCTTTTTGCAGCAAGTTGTTTCTTTTTTTCTTTTCTTTCCACTTCATTTAATTGATCATCTGGTATATCAACTAGTTGGAAAGTGGGTTCTTCCTATAATCAATCAATCAATTGTTAAGTGTATCAATAGATTTTGTGAAAATTTTAAAAAAATAATAAACCTTAATTTCAACTTCATCAATTCCAAGTAACTTATTTCTTGCTCTTTGAACTGCCTTCTCAGTTTTTTGAATAATATCATCCAATTCTGTCTCATCACTCATTCTATTTTCTTTTAAATGTGCCTAAACAAACAAAATATAAAATATAATTATTGATTAATAAAAACACAAAAAAAAAATATTATTATTTACCAAGAAATCTGCTTTTTTTAGAGTGGATTTTCTACTTCTTAATGATAAATAAAAATCTAATGTATCCTCTAAATCTTTTAACTAAATGACAATAATAATAATTTTTTTGATATATTAAAAAAATTTTGATTTAAAAATAATACACAATACAAATAGTAAGTTAAATTAAAAACTAAGTACTTTTTGCATACGTAGTTTTGTTGCTTGTTCTTTTAAACGACGTGCTTGTTCCTGTTTTCTTTCTTCAGCTCTAGTCAATTCTTCTTCTGTTTTTTCATTTGACTATTTATTTTTAAAAAAGCATAAATATAAATTAATTTTCTATATGAATTTCTAAATCAATTAAATGATTTCACATTAATAATGATGTTTATGGTGTTACACACAGGAGGGACATAAGGAAATTGAATGACTTGATCTTTTTCAGCAAATGATTTTGGGTCTGTGTATTCATTCAATTCTTGAAAATAATCTTGTGCAACTTTAGTGTAATTATGAACAAGATACTGAGTGATTATAATAATAAATTAATTAGATGATTTTAAATAATAATTGAATAAATTTGATTGATTGATTGAATATTACCTGTGCTTGATTGATTGTCATTTTTGTTGGAAATGTTGGATATTTAAGTTGCATTAATTTTAGCATATAATCAGTTGATGTTGAACCACCATAAGATATCCTAAAAATATTCCACAGTGTTATTTTTATCATCATCATTACATTATTCATTTAAAATGATTTTTTTATAATTATTTCATTGTCAACAAAACATACCTTTTAATATGTTCAGAAACAGCATGGCCACCAATGATAGGTATAACATGTGTAGAAGTATGACCAGAGGAAATTACCACACCACCCTCATCAAATGACAACCCATTGGCATGAAAACTAAATAGTGCATCAATTCCATAGCAAACTGATGGTATTCGATAACATTCAAATAATAACTCATTCATCACTATAAATACATGTAATATATTTTGTTAATACATTGAAAATAAAAATGAACAAAAATGAAAAAAAAAACCAAAAAATGATGTAAAATAAAAATAAAAGGCACATACTTTTTCTTGAATAATTTGGATTACAAACAGGTTCTGTCATCAAAATGGGATTATATACTTGATCAGTATCAATACCCAATTTAACGAAAATATAATCTAAAATATACTCCTAAATAAATGTGTAAATCTTATTTGATATAATGTTCATTATGATATATATTTAAGTTTATATAAACATGCAAGTTAACTATAATCAATGACTATTTAACATACCATTGTCTCAAAATTATAAACTACATTTCCATCAAATGGTGACTTTGCACTAGCCTTTGCTGTTGCATCTGTATAAACATCATTTCCCACAAACAAAACACTTTTATTGATTTTACGATCCCTAAATTTTGATACTAGGTTATCAAATTGTACTAAAAACAAAAATAAAATATATTTTTTTTTTGTGGAAATCATAAACAAATCAAATTTCTAAAAAATCAAAAATCAAAAAATTTCCTACATCTAGGTGAATCATCAGTTGCCCAACCAACACGACATTGATATGAACCTAAAATCATCAGAAATCTTTTTAGAAAATTATATTAATGCACTATGTAAACAAAATTACGTTTCTTAAGATCTTGTGAATAAATAAGTCAGTAAATTCCAATTCAAAATTCAAAACACGCACCATTATCAATTATTATTGGAATGTCGGTATTAAAAAACCCCCTGTGATAGTCATTAGAAGCATAGTTTGGTGTGTAATTTCTTCTCTCGGCAATATTGTATATTTCTGTTTTTTTAATAAATTCGCTCATTTGGAGTAAAAAAGTGAGGTTTATTTTTAGATTAAAGTTGTACCAATTTTAGTATATGTCAATTTCTGCGCCAAATATTTCATCAATAATAGTTAGGGCTTCTAGAATAAGGTTTATTCGAATTATTTTATTCTTTATTATTATTATTATTATTATTATTATTATTATTATTCGAATAAATTTTTTAATTCGAATAAAATTAATGATTCGAATAAAACTAGCAATTCGAATAAATGAACAATAAAATTAATAATGTAAAATAGATCACGGGAAACTAACATATAAATCGGAAAAGATTTACATGTATCACGAAATAAAAATTTGGAAACGATTATGGTGCAGGACACCTAGTCCCTACAACTTTCTGCGCCACAGCAACAGATTTGGGAAAAAATTCACAATCAAAAATGCAATAAAATTTTTACAGTCACGTGTTTTAAAAATAGGTTTGTCACGTTGCATTCTCTTTATTGGTATCACGTGATAAAAGATCTGCAATACAGATTTCAAAATTTTCAATTCTTCCAATTCATTCATTTTTAATATAAAAAATTTGTGTGTAACACGTCACTTTGGGGGATTAACATAGTAAATTTGTTAAAATTGTGCAACTTTAAGGCTTAATTCCTCCACAACAACATGGCATATCAACAAAATGAAAATGTCATTTTGTAGAAAAAGGTCTTAGCTTCAAAATGTCATCTTGTTTTTTTGGTCACACATTTCCATTTTTGGAGGAGTTAAAGGATTTGCAAGACTAATAAAAGTTGTAGGGACTAGGTGTCCTGCAATATACAAGGAAATGAAGGAAATGATTAAATAGCTAAGTCATGTTTGTTTTATTAAAGACATATGATTAATTGTATTTAAAATATGCATTAAAAAAATTGCAAGACTGCACCACTGTGTCAATTAAGCTATCAAGCTGTTATGTTTGTGCATGATTTAAAATTCTTTTGTGCTAATTTAGAGTCCCATCTTTCTTTGCTTATATATAAACTATTGGTTCCCTCCTTATTGGTTGAATGATGCCAAATTGGGTAATGAATACAGAATCTGATTATTCTTTAAAAAAATAATTAAGATATTGGCATATCAATAAGTTAATAATATTCTTAGTATTTTTATCATATATTCTAAAAGCCTATTAATAAATGTTGAAAGTGTTGATATTTATCAGATATTCTTCTAAAATTAATATGGTTGGCTCGGTCTAAAGACCTCCTATTGCTGCGCCACGCGCTCAAATTTCAAAAATTGCAATTTCGTGATTCGCTCAAAAATGCAATAAATTTTTTTAAAAAATGGTTTCACGTGATTTTGGCTAAAAAATTATTTTTCTTACTGCCAAATTTAGATATGATGGTCGAGTATTGGTCTAAATTTAGTAATGATAATCAAAACTAGTCTAAATTTAGCAATGATCCTAGCGCTCAAATTCTCATGAGCATAGTAAAGTAGATATTTTAAAAAAGAATAGAACTTTACAATAAATAATTTTTTTGAGAAAATCTCTTTATTACATTAAAACTAAATACATATTCTATCAACTAATAGAGCTATTTTTTTAAAAGATAGGACAGAAAATGACTTCTATACTTTTAAAATTTGCCTGAAATTTAGGAGGTCTTTAGACCGAGCCAACTATATTACTAAATTAGTATTAACTTTATTATCGTAAATGGAGCTTTTCCCTATTATATATATATATACTATTACTATATATTACTAATATATAGATTAATAATTTTAATTTTAGAATTTCTTTTTTCTTATAATTTTAATTCTGATACAATCATCTTGTGAACCACGTTTTGCAACTGGCATTATCACAGGTTGATGAGAGAATGAGGAGACTAAAGTACAAATTCTATAATCACCGGGCGATAAACCTTTTACTTTAACCAATAAAATTCCATTTTTATCTGGTTGGTCCAATCCTTTAAAGAATGTAAAATCCTTTGCATTAGGTAAATTATTACCATCAAGTTTTTGTATGGTAACGTGAGAATGTCCTTTTATCACGCCATTTTTCAACTGTTGAGGTTCGGTATAATATTTTTCGTTTGGATTGGTGAAGAAGCCGGTTATTAAATTTGAAATTTTTGTTTTAACTCTAAATGATTGTCGTGATTTTAGTATTTGACCATTAATTGGTTCTATTATTAACGTTGATGGCATTTTATTGACAGATGGGATTTCTCCTTGTATTGTTTCTGAGCAAGATCCTTGATGGATTTGTTGACCGTTTGTTAATTTTTTGTTTTTACATAAATTCTTATTAAGTTTTTTATCTCCAGATACCATTATCACGGAATAAATGATAATTAAAATAATGAAGAATAAATTATGTTTCATTTTGGATGCACCAGGCATTTGTTTCCCCAACATTGATTTAAAGAAAGATATATATATATAAAGTTTAAACAATACGTAAATTTTAATACAATTCAAAAATACATAATAATAAAAACAATACAATTCAAAATAATTATATACTAAAAAGATGATTTGAAAAGTTTTTATATTAAAAATAAAAAAGAGTAAAAATAATATTGATATTAATATAAATTTTGTCATGACACAATAAATTCCTGTAATGAATTCACGTTGATTTTCAGTTTCTTCAATATCCCAATCTTCATATTCAAATAATTCCTGATTATTATTATTATTATTATTATTATTATCTAAATAATTTCCGATTTCTTTAACAAATCTCTGATATTCTTTAGTCAATCTCTGATTTTCTTTAGTTAATCTCTGATTTTCTTTAGTTAATCTCTGATTTTCTTTAGTTAATTTCTGATTTTTTCAGATAAGTCATTAACTAGGAATTCTAATATACAATTAGTAAGTTCTAACATGGCTTGCATAATTTGGGAAAATATTTTTTTTAATATATATGAATATATACGTATATAAGAGAGATTATTTTTTTTATTTTTTTTTAAAATGTAAAAATTCACCCTTTTATGAGCATAGTATGTTGTAATATAAAGACTAGTGCCGTAAATTATGATGATGGTAGTAATTGTATTTACGGCATATAAAAAGTGGTTGCAATTACTTTTGCAACCACTTTTGCAACCATACTTTTTCCTTTTTTGGATTACGGCACTAGTCTTTATTGTAATACGAAATGTTATATACGTAGAACCATTGCTCACCAGTATATTAATATTATATAAATATAATTGTATATATATACCTCAAATCCAGGTTATCATTACTTTTTATTGACAGAATGTTTGCCGTGTATTGTAAAGTTACGCTATAGTTGCATTAATATTAATATTAATATATGTACTAAAAATAAGAACAAAGACAGAAATATTATATGTATATAATAAAAACATGGTGAAACAAACCAAGTTTTTTATTTAGAGAAATTCAGCATCCATTATTTTTTTAGATCACTATCAAATATGTAAAATTTATATATTATTTTCTTAGGGTGACCTACAAATAGTATATATATATACCATTACAGGATCTATAATTTGACAAACTAAATCTTTGAGTGGCATATAAGATTATTACGTTCTCGATTTTAACTTTAATTGTTAATCTTTCAACTATTGTATTGTTATAGCAAGCAAATTTATTGGATTAATATATAAAAACCTATTATTGTTGTTGTTATTCAATTAATCAATTTTGTCCAAATAAATGTTAAATGGCACAATATTGCCAAATTACGAACTAAATATATTAATATTAATATATATATACTAATACAATAATAATAAACTATTTGCACATTCTCCGACTTATTATATATATATATATGTTTTTTTTTTATTAAAAAATATAATTGTACAAATTAATTTTGAAAAAGATAAAATTTTACTTAAATTTAATATTTCGTAGGCCACCCATTATTTGCAATACGTGCCTCAATTCTATGAGACATGCTTTCGATTAATTCCATGTACACCCTTTCTGGAATTTATCCACTCTTCAATTAAAAGTGCCTCCAACTCCTTTTTCGTTGTATGCTACAGGTAATTTTGTTATAATAGTAGTGAAGAAATATTGATAAAAAATAAAATCATTTGACTTTTTTAGTTTTTTCTTATCTGAAATGAAATAAAATAGTACAAGATAATAAATAATAAACTTTAATTAACAACTAAATATTGATAGTTTAACATCAAATAAAAGAATCAAAAAGCTCAATTACTTCGCAATAAAGTACATTTGTATTATTTTCAATAATTTCAAGCGTAAAGTCATTTTCTTCAAAATTTATAGATTTTGATAGTTTTCTGTTCGTTTCTTGAACCTTTGATTCAAACCAGTTAACTTTAACTGACACTATTGTAAAAAGTTTAGATCCTTTCCAATTTCTGATTAAAAGATTGAGAAGTTTTTTGTTATAAATAGTTACTTCTTGATTAAATTCCAAGCGTTTCAATTTTTTTGGTAACACTTCTTTAAAATTTTTATTATTTTGTCGCCATCAAATGTACAATTTGGGTTATGATCAAAAGCAATTAATCTAACAAAATTTATTTTCTTGCACTTGTTGAATATCTCAGTCAACTCTTGATCAAGTTTATTTTGATAGAAAATAGTTAAATATTCTAAATTTTGGCAATTAATGCTTATCAATCGAAGAATTTCTTTTAAGTGTTCTGTATCGTTTGCCATACCCATAATTTCTAATTTCTTGATTTTCTTTGACTTTTCACAAACTCGATAAAAATGATTCATAGTATAAATCTAAGCTTAAAGATTCTATCTTTGTAAACAGAGATGAGTTTAATTTTCCCTCAATTGAATGGTAGCGACGATTAAAATGACTTAATTTTAGATGTTTTAAATTTAGAAAATTTTTTATTAATATAGAGTCTAAGTTGCTCCCTCCATGGTTTCCATAAAAAGTTATAGATTTTGAATGCGTCAAAATTGCTTCTTTGAAGTAATCTGAAAAGATTAAATTATAGTAACCAAAAAAGCCCAGTTTCGAAATTTTATTTTGTGCTTTTATTAGTTCGGCTAATTCTCTGTTGTCTGAAGTGCAATAATTTAAGAATATTTTTATACTTTTTATATTTTTGCTACTAGAAATTAACCTTTTAATAAATTTATGGTTGTTAGAGAAACCTATGATCAGTTCATTAAGTTCACAGAAACAACTATTGAAATTAGGATCTTCAGTTAACCAATCCCAGTCCATCTCTCCTAAATGATTAGTAAATTCTCTGATTTTTGAATATTTTAAAATGAACTTCATAATCATCTTTAACAGGTCAAAATTATTTTTTCTCCAGAGATATTTTTCGAAATTAGAAATCTTATTATAATCTAATTTGGTAGCAAATTTAGCATAATTATATAATGGTGGTTCTTTTGGTAAATTAAGAAATTTTAATTCAGGTTTATTTTTAACTAAAAATTCCTTGTCTTCTACTAATAAACAACTTATTATCATCCAAATGCTTCTTTCTGAATGAAACGGATTTCTCCATAACTTGGAAATACCAATTAAATTCCATTGTTTGTTAATTAAAATGCAAGAATATAATGATTTGTAATCATCTTCTAGATATTCGAATATTTCAGCTAAAAGATCAGATGAAAAATTTGTTAAAAGCATTTTCTGGATAATTTTTTTAAAAAAACAAAACAAAAATTCTTGTGAGGAGATAGTGATTTCATAGATAATTTTATTTATTTAAAACAACAATAAATTATGTTGCTAATTGTTCGACAACAAGTCTCATAATACATAGTTCCTTTGTTAATTTAATAAAACTACTTAACTCATAAAGTTAAGTTAAATAAGTAAAAATCTAGAGGGTAACAAACAAGTAGTAGTTGTTAATTTACATATATTTTATCATATTATCTAATAAAAATTTTTTAAAGATAATAAAAAAATAACTTATTGCTATAACAATTTAAATATTTTTTCAGAAACGTTTTCATTTACTCTCTCTTATAGAAAATGTTTTCTTTCTCATAGAAACGTTTTCATTTATAAAATAACTCTTTCTCATTCTTGAGTTTCTCAACTTTCAAATATGAATGGTTCAATAAAAAATGGTATTTCTAAATTTTCAACAAAAATATCAGTTATTTGCCATTTTGTTACATTGTCTATAATAATAATATAGTGGATAAATACAGTAGATATATTATTTTTTATTATATAATTCATCAAAATAGATTGATCATTTATGAAATGTTTCTCCAAAAACTCAATAGAAAAAGTAGAATTGACGATAAGTTGCGAGTATTTTGTGTATAAATATATGAGTGATCGAAGTAAACGTTTTATTATTAATAATATAGACGGGTATTCTATATATGATAATGTTCTATGATAATGATGATGATTTTATTTTTTTTAGCGCCTTCCAAAAATTAATGAATTTTGTTTTAATGTATTCGAATACAGTAACGCAGGCAGTCGGACCATCATCTTCTTGTGGTTCGTTATTATTATTTTTTATACAAAAAGGTACTTCTCCAAATATATTTGGATTGTTGGTGTGCATAGTTATTATATATTATGATGATGATAAAATAGTTTTTTGATAAAACCTTTATTTTGCTCCTTATATATACGCATGGAATAATTAACAATATTTTTTTATATTAATATTATAATTATAATTATAATTATAATTATTATTAAAATGTTTTATCCGTATTGTTCTATATTAATATTAAAAATATCAGCCCAGGAATCAAGACTTATTATTATTATAGTAATGTAATGTTATATATATTAATATAACAATTTGACGACGACGACCTGATGATATCTGATATCTGATATGAAGGAAAAAACAAAAACCAACCAGCCACTTTCTTTACTTTCAACTAAGTCACGTACAGATTCCATCTACGTGCAACCGAATCTGAATCAGACCATGCCATCCATGTTCAGGTTTGGTTCAATACATTAAGCAGAAGCTCAGTTCAAGTCCGGTTCGAACTCAAAATGAACTTTTAATTTCATTAAAGGTAAACTTCAAATTTTTTAACGAATGAGCTAACTCATTGTTATTTTTATTTTTTTATAAATTATAAAAAAAAAACAAATTGAAGGAAGATATTAATATATATAAAAACAAAAACACATCGTGATATATATATATAATGATAATAAATTATTCTTTTATGCATCTTATTTTTTTCAAAGTTTAAATATGTCCAAAATGATCTTTTCAAAATTTAAATACATGTCATTTTTTTCTGAAAAACTGTTATTAATTTTAATTGGAGTGTTTTTATTGTTGATATTAATAACACTTGTCTTGTCTATATTAATATTTTGATTTGTTGTTCCATAATTATCTTGAAGATTAACACTTTGGCCATTTTTAACTCTTTTTTTCTTTTGAAAATATGAATTTTTTAAATCTGTTGCTTGGTTACGATACTTTTTTTTCTCTTCATTTGATAAGTCACGCCACATATTTCCGATTGTTTTGGAAATTTCACGATTATTTTTATTTGGATATTTTCTTTTAACAGCATCCTTTATCGCACAACGAAATAAAATAAATGGATTTGGTGGTCTTGTAATGTTGAAATGATTGTAATTGCAGTAATTTTGTTTTAAATAAAAATTTGGGAATATAATAATTCGTTTCCGATATCTCTTCTAATGCTTGAAATGGTGTCGGGAAAACAAGGTCTTGAGATAAGATTGGCGCAAAACCATATGGAATGTAAACAAAATAACCCTTTTTGTTGTTAAAATCGTTTAATATTTGTTCCGGAGATAAAATATTATAAATTGAATTAAATGGAGACATTTTTAAAACCACATTTTATTTATTATGAGAATAATATATATATATATATATACAAGTATCAAACAATACATAATATTTGTTGTATTGAATAAATTATTGAAATAGATGTATATACTAATTATTTGATTATATTAACTATTATTATCATTGATATTTAATTTATCAAAATTTAATAAAACTTCCGAACTTTTAACAAAATCTTCTAAAAGTTTAAAAAAATTATGATCCATTTTTTGTGGTGGAAAACATTTCAATATACAAGTTAATCCAAGTCTTAATTTTTTTTTTCGGGATCTCTATCGTTTACTGCATCACTAACTATCTTCATTGCAAGTTCATCTAAGTCATTTGTTGTTTCCGTTTTTGTTGTTAAACTTATTAAATCATCAAGACTAGGAAATTCACCAATATATTTTCCATGTAAAATGCGTTTACCACGTAGAAAATCATTATATTCAGTTTCTGTGACATATATTGTTACTTGACTCATTTTTTTGAAATGTATAGTAAAAAAACTTACCGGTCTTCTATATGGCCTTTATATAGCTACCACAATCCAGAGTATTGTATTGTATATATCAATAATACTAATACTAAAATAAATTGTTGTATATAATTGTTTTCTTTCTATCCATCATCATCAATGATTAAATAGTCCCTCCAGTCCGGTTTGGTCCAGTCCATATTAATATTAGGGATGTTAAGTAGTCCGTCTGGTCCATATCAATGATTTTAATCATGAATATTCGAATATTCATTGAAAATCAATTACTTTTTTGAATAAAAAAAAAACTTGATACAAAATGATATTCCCTACACAAAGTTTAGATACTTAAAATATACTTAAAATATACTTAAACATACTTTTGATGGTAAACTAGCATACTTGAAATACATTTTAAGCACCTAAACTTTTTGTAGGGATTGCCAATTTTTTGTAAGGTCAAATCTTCTTTTTAAGCTTTAAATTTTTGGAATTTTAACATGGATTTTTTTTTAACAATTGCGCTATTATTATCATACAAAAAATGTGTCAGCTTGTAGTTTAAATTCTGAGGATTATGGATGTATTAGTATCCATAAAAATAAAAGAAAAATTTTAATGTAAAATATTTTAATCATTGCTCTAAAACCTACATAATAATATGCTTCGAAATTTTGTATGTATATAATAATTTAAAATCGAACATCTAATACTTTAGAAAATCATTTACAGGCCAATTTTTTTAACACACTCACTGTATATGATCTTTAAAATCAAAAAGTGGTCACGCAAACAAAGGCGGGTTGATTTATTTTATTATTATATTTTTTATTGTGTATATATATTAGTATTAAATACTCAAAAAATAAAAAAAAAACCAATTTGTTATATAAATATATATTTTTACTCTTCCATAATAACATCCTTGTTAACATTGTCATTAATAATACTGTTATTATCAGCAATGTCAATAACATCGTCAATGGCATATTCACTTGTAGCTGCAATAAGATTTGAGGGATCGAAGTAATCTTCAGAGAATTTAGTATTAGGTTCATCATTACTATTATTTTTATTAACTTTTGTAGGAGCTACATATGGATTTTGCTTAGTATTAGATTTATCGAGAGAGACTTTAGTTCGTATAACATTATTATTTTTAGAAATTGGTTGTTGTTGTTGCTGCTGTTGCTGCTGTTGCTGCTGTTGTTGCTGTTGTTGTTGCTGTTGCTGTTGCTGCTGTTGTTGCTGCTGTTGTTGTTGTTGTTGTTGATTTCTTTCTTCTATTTCTTTCCATAGTAATTGTTGATTTTCCATATGTTTATTTAGTTGTGTTGCCATATTTCGTGGACCTTCTTTAAAAATTTTCAAATCAGGATGATAACCTTCACTTATTAATAATGGTGGAGTATCTAATGCTTCTGAAATTTTTTCTCCCAAGTCTAATTTTTCTACTATTATTTTTAATTTTTCAATTACAAAATAATTATAAGCGTCACATATATCGATGTACTTAAGCCAGAATTGGAAGTCGTAATTATTATCTTCTGCAATTTTCTGTAAAAGTTCTTTAATGTCTTATAATATATATTTTCATAAAAACTGAGATTATTTGTTGGTAGAATAATAATAAATATTGGACCGAAAATTAGGAACAAATTATAAATTATCATTGCAGTTTTGTATATTTTTCTAAATTGTTTGCTGTAACCAAGTTTCGTAAGTCTCGCAACCTCTGAATCAAGTGGATAATCAACACTAGATAACACATGACGTTCATGAATATCATTTACAATATCATCTTTTAAAAGAAGCTTCTGTATAAACCGTGCTTTCTCATTCATTGACTGCACATAATCAAACTCTCCACCTTCCTCTTCAGTAATGAATCTTAACGAAATGCCTAGTAGTAGTAGTCTTGCTACCATAAACAAATTAAGCTCTTCTGAAGCACTAATTATTTTAGACAATGATATTAATAGCTTGTCAACATCACACTTTTTCCCAGCTGACGTAACATCAACCTTTTCGTCTACAAGTACAATATTTGTTTGTTCGAGTTTTTTGATTCGAGTTTCTATGGCATTAGGAGATATTTCAAAATAGGTAAGTAATGTGCAAATTTTATTATTAGTGAATTGACTTGTAACTTCTTGAGAGTAAAGTTTCTGTATATTCTTTGGTTTTTGTTTGCCCGAACCTCCCCCTCCCTTTAAACGTAAACTACATTTTGTAATATCTCCGTTCGGGTATGTTAATAACATGGATTCGTTTTTTTCTTTCGTAAGTTTACTATCCATTAACGCAAGTCTTGGAATCATGCAAATTATAAAGGGAATCGCGTAAATTTTTTTGGAAGTTCTCTTGAAGTTGTCAAGGGTATCTACTACTAGACTCTGTATAATGCTTAAATCTTTATTTGATTCAATAAAATCGTCAATGGTTTGACGATCGAGTTGAACGTTCATTGGAGGATTATGATAATGGATGATTCCTTTTCTTTTGTTATGTTTAATATAATTACGTAGAATAGGACCTTCGGAATCACTTTCTGCAGGGCTCATCATGTATCAAGCCATTTTTTTTTGGTTAATTTTAAAGAAATTTTTCGTATTTTTATGTTAATTATTAATAATACATTTTAATTTGTATAAAAAATAAAGCTGATTCTACAATTGATTTTGTAAAGTTGATTCTGCAATTGATTTTGTATTATAAAAAAATAATTCTACAATTCAATTTAAATATTATCGATTAGAACAAATTTTTTAAAAAAATAAAAGTTGATTCTACAATTGATATTGTATTATTATCATAAAAAAATAATTCTACAATTCAATTTAAATATTATTGATTAGAAAAATTTTTTTAAAAAAATAAAAGTTGATTCTACAATTGATTTTGTATTATTATCATAAAAAAATAATTCTACAATTCAATTTAAATATTATTGATTAGAAAAATTTTTTTTAAAAATAAAAGTTGATTCTACAATTGATTTTGTATTATTATCATAAAAAAATAATTCTACAATTTAAATATTATTGATTAGAAAATTTTTTTTAAAAAAATAAAAGTTGATTCTACAATTGATTTTGTATTAGAGAAATATATTTTTTTTAATTCTACAGTTAAGATAGTGTATTATATTATTATAATATATATATATATTGAAGAATAGGATTGGAATTTTTTTAACAACAATGAACGAAAATTTGTTTACAAAGGAAAAGCTATTTTTATTTTCATTAGAACTGGTAAATTTATCGTTTTTTTAAAAATAAAAATTCGATAAATTTTTAATTTTATATATATATTATTTTGTATAGTTTTAAAAGGAATTTCAAAATCCCAAAAATAATGGAACTCGGATAATAATAACAACAAACTTCATAAATAAAGCTTGGAATAATTCGTAATTATTTTTAATATATGATCAATCATCTATCTATCATCATACTAAATTTAAAAAATTAGGGTCAACAATGAGAAAATATTTGAAGAACTATCATTATCAATATTATCAAAAATGGAATTGCAATGGTTTTGTGTTAAAATTTGTCGCTATTTAAAAAATGAGCTAAAACTTGATCTAGATATAGATATGGTAAAATATTGCAATTCTATTCACAAACTTATTGAAGAAGACAAGAATGTTATTTTTTATTTTTTTATGATAACATATTGGAATAATGAAAAGATTTTATCCTAAAATACGTACCAAGCAATTCAACAAAAGATTTTTCAACTATTCCAGAAGATACCAGAAATTTTATTACCGTAATGGAATTAGTTTTCAGAAATAGAACAATCTTTACTAACCCTGTCGAATATATGGAACAAGATCATCAATATTTCTTTTATAATCGAAACGCCAATACATACAAAAAATTTTTGGAGCTTTATAACGAAAATTTGGAAAAACAAATCGATATTTTAAATCATAAAATTTCGGATAATAAAATATCTAATACTAAATATTTTCAAATGAAAAGTATTATAAAAAAGAAATAGAAAATTTAAAAAAATTATAGAAGATATGACTAGAGATAACGAGATCTTAAATTCTGAAATTTCAGATAACAATAATGGTTTAAAGGTCTATCAATTATTTTGTACCTTAATGATTCAAATATTAAAAAAAATAATATTAATAATTAATATTAATAATATTAATAGATCATGGAAAGATCCGTATCAACAATTGAAAAATATCTTTCAGGTTTAAAATCGGATATTGAATTAATATTGGTGAATTTAGATGACAATAAAGCAAGTACTATATCAATATAGTATACACTTGATAATTTAATAATTTATTATAATAATATTATTATTTAATTCTAGAAATTCTCTGAGGAACTTTTCACAAAAAAAATAGACGAAATAATCAAAAAAAATTCAACTTCTACTATGTACAGAGGTAATGGTTTGCAAGTATTTTTTAAATGTAGATGTCTTTCACAATTTTGTATTGAAAAAGTATTTGAATAACAATAATAGATTTAATGTCAAAATTTAACGAATTTGAAGCCAAAATTGGAGAAATTATTATTATGGACCAAACGAAGAGTAATTAATATTAATATTAATATGTATTTTTTTGAAACATTCAAAAAAAAAATTAACTATTTATTATTATTATTATATACAGTCCCTTGAAAAAAGTATCGCTTCACCTGATGATCGACGAAAATAATTGGATAACTTCTGTGATATAAAAAGTCATGATTTTACTAACCAAGTCGATGTTGTGTAATAACAAAAAAATCATTTTCATAATGATTTCTATAACATATTCAAGTTTCACAACATAAAATTAATTATTGGTAATTTTATGATCTTTAAAAGACAAAAAAAAAATTTCCGGAAATTTTCAAAAAAACTTGAGATTAGAGCCAACTTTAGATGACATGTTTTAACACATTTTGAGAGCTTAGTAAATGTTGTTTCTTTTATCTTCAAATGTATACTTATGAAATCTCACAATTAATTGTCGGATATTGGTCAAGTATCGAACTGAAACGTAAAAACGACTAAAAAAAATAAATGTGTTACATTTAAAAATTTTTTTTTCTGCAAATATTGCTATTCGTTTTTAACTAAAACTGTTACGTTTTTTAACTTATTTTTAATCAACAACACAATGACTCTTACAGAAATAAATACACAAAATACTGAAAACACTCAATTAACTGACTTTGAAAGAGGAAGAATAATTGGTCGTTGGGAAGCTGGTCAAACAACTCGAGAAATAGCAAATGCTGTTGGTCGTACTCAAACACAAGTACAGCGTGCAATAAAAGCATATCGTGAAAAAGGTCAAATTACCGTTTTATCTAGAAGTGGAAGACCAAAAAGTTTAACAGATCGAGACTCTAGGACTTTAAAAAGAATTGTTATAAAAAATCGTTTTACTCCTGCTAGAGAGATAACTAACATATTAAATGAAACCACAGACAATCCTATTTGTGATCGAACAATTCGTAACTATCTCCATGAAGAAGGATATTATAGTCGAGCTGCATTGAGGAAACCTTTTGTTTCTGAAGTTAATCGAAAAAAACGATTTAGTTGGTGCAGAGAAAGAAAAAATTGGAACGTTGATGACTGGAGTAATATTATTTGGAGTGATGAATCAAAATTCAACTTGCATCATTCTGATGGACGGCAGAGAGTTTGGAGAGTTCCAAAA